TTTTAGTGGAGTACTATGACTCATATATTATTGGAGACATTGATTCCCAAATTTCTATTTCATGCTACGTGATTAAATTTGCAGAGGAGTTGTAGCTTGGAAATCTAGGTTGAAAAATTGTGTAGCATTGTCTACTACAGAGGGAAAGTTCATTGTCATTTTTGAAACATAAAAATTATATCTATGGTTGAATAAATTCTTGCAAGAAATTAATTTTTCAAGACAAATATGTGTTATTTATTGAGAGTCAAAATGTTATTTATTTTGGTAAAAATTTGACTTTTCATAGTAGGTCCAAACATATTAATGTGAGATATCAGTGGATACATTAAATTTTGGATGCTAAGTTGTTGAAGTTAGCTAAAGTTTCTTATTGATAATAATGGTTCTGCTATGATGACTAAAAATCTATGAAGAGGGAAGTTTGAAACTTTTTATGATAATGTCGTTATAGCAATTACCTCCATATAGTTGTAATGGAGAGATATGTTGGATATTGCAATATGGAGGAAAAACTCGTATGTTTTACCCCATTTGTGTCTTACTTATATTAAGAGGGGATGATCATGCTAGGGTTAGACATAGATATAAAATAAAGTAGAAAAGAAAACACTAGTGAGAAAATATGTGATAAAGTTCATTCTCATTTTTCTCAAACCAGTTTTTAAAAATTTGTTATTCTGAATTCATTAACCGTTAGATCGGGCTAATTGTTTGACACAATTTTTGTAAGGCACAGTGATACATTGTCACTGTTCAAATTATTGAAACATGTTATGAGCAGAAAGTTGAACTCATGTTCGCACTACACTAGGTTTTTTTGGGTACTTTTTATATTCTCGTTCTAAAATTGTAAGCTTTTATGTTTTGTTGTTTTGACTGATTGTTGGTACTCTTTGGAAATTATTTTGATGCTCTCTTGTAACATCATTTGGCCATATTGGAGTTATTTCTTTGATCAGAACGAATCTTGATTTTTACCCTTGCTTTGATGGGTTTTCACGTTAAAAATTTGGTGTTCTTTATTCGCTTTTAGTTGATATATTTGTTGTCACATACTTATTCTTGTTCCTAAAAAACTCTTGCAAGTTGGAAATTTTTTATGTGATGTAAATTGTTTGTTATTGGTTTTTTGTGTTAATTTACATCTGAGTGTATGGTTCAACTAAGGAATAGGCACTACTACAAAAAAGGGATTCAACCTTGGACAGAAAAGGAATTTAACCTTAGTTACAGAGGCGGTGTAACAAAGGGCTTCATAAAAACTTTCCACTTTACTCCTCGATTATTGAAAAATTGAGGGGGAAAGTGTTCTTCATATGGTTTTGATCCTCAACTTCTGAATTTTTATTATTTTCAGAATTAGATGGCACGCCCTGCATTACCTCTCGATTATTTGAGGAATCGAGGTAATAAAGTAGCATTATTACCTCTGTTTAAAATAATAACCGAGGGGAAAACACCGTTACTTAATTTTTTGTTTTTCTATATTTTGATTTAAACTGGTATTACATAACCATATTTTGCCCATTTCTTAAACATAAACATTATTACAGAACCATAATTTGGCCATTTCTAAAACAGAAACTTTGTACCTGTCGCTTATTTTTCAAACAAAATCATTGTACCAAAAATATTCCTTGTTTTCACCTTTTGCGAAAATAAAATGGCACATGTACACCATATAATTTTACAACAAATTAAAACTAAAATGAAATAACCAATGCAAATGATACACCAATAAAAGAAATAACCAAAATGCAAAGTCTTCTAGGTCGTCCAAAAGTTTCGTTTTGTGATTTCTCACCGGTTGTTAAGCACCTATAATTTAAAATACATTTGAAACAAATTAAGATCATTAACAACAACAATAAATCTTTAGTAAAAATATTATAAAAAGATAAATGAGTAAATATATATTACTAAGTGATATAAAACATTTACATACTAGTTTTCCCATATTCCCTCTTGATGATCACGACGGATAGCGTGCACGTCATCATCAGAATCATTTTCTTTTGATGAGAGATGTACATGTGTTGTGAAAGAGGGAGTATCAAAATTAAAATCTTGATTTTCATCACTATCAGAAATATATCTTCCTTGAAGGATAATTGACCATTTTGTGTTAGAAGGATCAGTGACATAAAAAAGTTGTTTTTCTTGGGATACCATGATGAATGATTCATTCGTATAGGTCGCCTTTCAAAGATTAACTTGTGTGAACCCTAATTCATCAATTTCTACACCAGTGTTACTATCAATCCACTTTCACTTAAATAAAGGAACTTTAAAAGTAACATAACTAAACTCCTTAATTTCCTTAATGACCCAAAAGTATGCTTTAGATGCCAGTACGAGGTTCTTATCTTTCGAATTAGAGAAGTACATGGATTCAGTTTCAACCACAACCCCACTATTTTGCACGGTACAACTATTATCCTTTAATTTTGTATAGAATAAATATTTAGTAATGTCGTATGCACTTCGAGTTATTACATTAAACTTAGGCATATATGACATCCATTTAATTGTCTCTGATGCACTACTTTCTTTAAACAAAGTTATGAAAGTTTTGTTAAGCTCCGTCAACAATTTTTTTCACTCATCAGGGGGAAATTTTTCTTGATAAGACTTCTGTGAATGGTTAAGTAAGGTTGAACTTCAATAAGGTTATTCAATATATAAAAATATTCTTGAATAACTACATATGATTCAAATGTATTAATATTTAAACCTTGAACACCTGTACCATCATATCTTCCATCATGACGAGACTTGAGAATTTCTATAGAGCTCACTTTTGAAAAATAGCTTGTACAAAACTCAATAGCTTCTTCTTTGATGCACCATTCAATGATCTAAGCTTCTGGGCATAGATTATTTTGTGTATACCCTTTAAATATATTCGTGTATCGCTCCATCGAATATATCCACCGTAAATAAACTACACCGCAAATTCTAATCTCCCTTAATAGATGAACAATTAAGTGAACCATAATGTCAAAAACTAATGGAGGGAAAAACATCTCTAGTTGACTTAATTTGATTTAAGCCTCATGTTCCAACTCATTTAAATTTCCTGGTTCAATGACTTTACTACATATAGCATTGAAGGATAAGCGCAATTTGGTTATAATTACCCTTACATTTTTTGGTAGAATGCCACTGATATCCATTGGTAGAAGTTGTTGCATCAAGACATAAAAATCATGAGATTTTAATCCAAATAATTTAAGATCATTCATTGACACAAGTTTCTTCATATTAGATGAGTATCCTTGGGGAACTTTGATACCCTGCAAACAATCGCAAAAACTTTTTTTATTTTTTAGTTAGAGTGTGACTTGCAGGGGCAGATATGTTTTATTTCCTATATCTTTTGGGGCTAACTCTTGTCATATATCCATCACCGGCATATCTTAACGGGATTTCTTAGTATCTTTTGTCTTTCCTTTAATATTTAGAAGTGATTCAATCAATCTATCACATACATTTTTCCATATGAATAACACAAGACAATGTCTTACATCGAGGCTAGACCAATATGGAAGATCAAAGAACACCAACCTCTTTTTCCAAATATTTTTCTCCAGGAGCCCTTTTCGTTTCTTTCTAAGACAACATTAATATGTTGTTGTATTTCATAAACATCCTTCCCAGTTAAGGGCTTTGGAGCAACACCAAACTCCTAAATTCCATTAAAAGCCTTCCGCAATATACAGTATGGATGATTAGGTCTTGGTAATTTTATATGTCCAATGTAAATAGTCTTTTTCCATATTTTAATTGGTGGAAGCATGTATCATCTTCATATATTATACACACTTTAAGTCCTTAGACATTATACTAAGACAAATTACTGGATGCAAGAAAATTATTAATTGTGCAAAACAACATGGCATGCAGCTTAAAGTTATCACATGTATACGCATCATCAACACCAACGCCTTCCTCCCACAAAATTCTTAAATCTTTAATCAATGCCGTTAAATAAACATCTATGTCATTCCCTCGTTATTTTGGACTCGAAATCATCATTGATAAAATCATATATTTGTGCTTCATGCACAACCATAGAGATAGGTTGTAATTCTGAGAAATACATGCCATGAAGTGGGGTTAGTATTCAAATTCCAAAACATGTTTGTTTTGTCGGTGGAAAGTCCAAATCTAAGGTTCCTTGGCTCAAGGGAATATAGAAAGAGTTTTATATATCGGAAATGTGATAAAAGAGTCGAAGAAAAATGTTGATTTGAGATTTGTGCTTCCTTCCTTCTTAGAGAATATGGTTTTTCAATTTGTTGGGTGGAAAGAATGGTGTTTCAGTTGAAAAAAAAAATTTAAAAGATAAAAAATGAATGAATGAAACTTAACATTCTAATGAAAGAGTAAAATAATAATTTAGGATATTAGTGTGATATAGTTTTAGTAGAGAGTACTTTTCTTTTATTTTTTGTTTTTAATTGCATATTAATCTTTGTAGAGAGTACTTTTACTTTTTTATTTCTCACGATATTATTAGTATGATATACTTGTGAATTATTATATATATATATATATATATATATATATATATATATATATATATATATATATATATATATATATATATATATATATATATATATATATATATATATATATATATATATATATATATATATATATATATATATATATATATATATATATATATATATATATATATATATATATATATATATATATATATATATATATAAAATTTGTGAAGCAATGAAGCAAATCACCATAAAAAACTATATAAAATAATAAAGAATTCAATATTTTTTATATAGAGCATGATTTCAATAATTACATAAAAACACACATACACATAATATTTTACAATACATAGTAAAAGAAACCAACCCTTTAATTAAATTCATTATAACCACTTATACTATATAGCAAATATATAAATTTTAACCCATAAGATAAACATGATTACCCCAAACAAGTGACAAGTCTTCCAATATTCAGTGCATCATAAATGCCATAAAAGAAGCAAGCACAGAACAAAACATGATCACCACAGAAATTGGCAAAGCAAATCCAGTTCCAGTTTCCAATTGTGATGTGGGCGCTATTTCTGAATCTTGTGCCAGAATTTTTGTCATGCAAAACAAGCCTATAGCCATTACCATTATCAAAACCTGAAATGGAGAGCCATTAAATGTTGTCATTTCTAGAAAATATCTTATGTCACTCTGATTATGGTTAGTGGAGCGGAAAAGGTTGTATTGGTTGGGAGGAGGAATTGTTCAATGAGAGAATCAAGAGTTGAAATGTATATATAGAGCTCTATTAGGTGTATGTTATAAGATTATGCTTTCAAGTTGTTAAGTTGTATATTAAACATTAACCATTCTTAATGTGTAATTGATGGCTTTTGGATTAAGCCTTTTGTGTGTAATAATGACTTTTTTTTTTTTTTTATATATCTTAGGGTAAATAACTTGAGTTAAGCAGGTTTATTATAAATAGAAGAAAAAATTTAATAGTAACTGATAATTTTTAATTTATGAAAAATGTAGTATTTCTTGATTATCTCTAATATAAAAAGAAAATCTTTTAAATTTGTTAAATAATTAAGGTAGATGATCTATTTATAGTTCAAATTCATTAATTATTCAAAAGTAAATATTTTTTGATAATAAATATCATATGGTAAGAATAAAGGGGTAATATTATTTTAATTTAAACGATAATATTTTCACTGTTCGATTTCTTGTAAGTCACAATTGCGATCGAAAGGGAGTTTGAACTATTTAATATTAGAATTGATCTTTGAACTGAATTATATCGATCGTGAAAACAAAACAAAAAAATAAACGTTAATATTTAAGGTTGTTCGGAATTTCAAACCGTGATAAACGGTTGAAAAGAATTTTTTTTTAAATTGAATCATTTGTTAAAGAACTGAACCGTTATATTTTTTTTGAATTTTTTAATAAAAATTAAAATTAAAATTTTAGTATTTTTCATTTTTAATTTCAGTTTTTAATTTGATTTATTTGTCATTTAATTAAATTTTACAACTATTTGTATAATATGATTCCGCTCATAAATCAAATATAAATATAATAATTTAATTATTTTAATTTCAGTTTAGTTCAATACAGTCATTCGTTGGCGGTTTGTTTTAAAAATTTTAGTAATATTTTATTACAAAATTGTAATTTTTTTAAAACAGTTATTAGTATGTTAATTTTTAACTCTTTCACTTCTGCCACCAAATCAACCTCATTTTTCTCTTAATAGAAAATTTTAAACTTGACATAGACATAGACATAATTGGTCGAAGTAATGTTTTCATTTTGATATCTTTATTCAATTGAATCTGGTTGCTTTTGTAACATTTTTATACCCCACAAGACCAATCAAAGCTAGTATGTGTAAGGTAGCATTGTATACTCAAACAGTTTTTTTTTTTTTAAGTTACTCAAAGAACTTCTTGCGTCACACGTTAGAAGAACAATCTAGAGCCTATATATTACTAAGAATAATAATGTGCATTTATATTGCTAATATTTGTACGTTTTTATTCATAAAGAAAATTTGATGTAAAAATTAGTGTAAATTTTTCAACTCAAAAGTTACTATTTTTTATCAATTATAGGCATGATATCATTTTTCAATTTAATGATGCTGCTGAAAAATCACTTTCATGCCAGCTGAATCACCCTTGACATAGCAACGGTTCAGAGAATGTGATGTCTCTGTTGCTTCTTGAGGAGAGGAATTCAAAATTCTAGCTTCAATTGGCAATTGAAGAGTATAGAATTTAATGTTATGATGGAAAATATCATTATCGACATGACTATATTTTCTTGACTCTTGATACCAGGTGTACTTATTTTATGGATGCAATAGAAAATATAAGAGATTTACTTTCATATGAACTACATTAGTCAAAATGATGATCAATGTGCTAACCATGTATAAGTAACTTGGTGGCAAGTGAATTTAACTGCTTATTGAAGGAAATTTGTTTTGAAAACTGCATAACCCAATCAAGAAATCAGAGGCATCATTTTGACATTCAAATATTAGTTTTAGGATATGTTTAGATTAATTAAATTTAGTTATTAATATAATAAATTTAGTGAAACTTATTAAAATTATTTCAACTTTTTTAAAGCATATATTACAATAGTTTTACTTTATTTTTATAACTATAAAAATATGTTAGATTAAGATTATTTCAGCTTTTTTAAAGCATATATTACAATAGTTTTACTTTATTTTTATAACTATAAAAATATGTTAGATTTTGTACGTGGATAATTTTATTGGGCCTTAAGAACGAAGAGGCCGCTCAATAATATGGTGATAGCGTCTTCAAAATGAGTCAAGAGTCCGCCTAATAATATGGTGATAGGCGGTATAAAATGGGTTTGAAGGCCGTCTAATTGAGTTTGGTTTGTTTGAGGTGACTCATTCATTCGCTACATGTGGCTGATTAAGTATTTAATCACCTAATGACCGTAAGAATGAATCAAAGGGAAATATACCGATTTCCCATTATCTAGCAAAAAGTCGGATCTTCTCACATTCTGACTATTTATCGAAAATGTAAATTAAAAAAGTCCTTTCGAGTCATCCAACATAAATCCAGCAAGCCGACTATATCATTAAATATAATAAAGAAAAATGAGTTCTTTACCAAATTTATAATTTGTCAATCAATTAGAGTATTTACTATTTTTGCATTTGCTATTAATAGAAAATTTTCTATAATTATCTTTATTATTTTTTTAATATTTAATTAATTATTTAATTAATTTCTAATTACTCACTGTTTACAGTTATTTCTGGTAAACAACCGCTAGTCCTCCAAACTATCGAATAATCTTAGTGACTGTTATTCAATCTCTCTGGTAACTCGCAGGTTCGACTAGATTGATCCTAGGATGTATTGGTCATTTGGATAACTCTCATTATAGAACTGGTATTCATGGTTGGTATTTAGAATGTTGTGTAGGTATTTAACTTACTTCGATTACTCTATTAAAGATCTAAAGGCGTGATCAAGTAAATGCGCGCGAAACTAAATTGCATGAATAAAGTTCAATTGTAAAGACATGTAAAACTGTAGAAAAGACAAGTAAATGACTTCGAAGCATAAAAACATGTAATATAAAAGCGTTTCTGGAATGCAAAAGATTCGAAATATGAAGAAAGCGTTTAAATGCAAGAAAATAGTAAAATGACTTTAAATGAAAAAAGGTGTTCAAATGATAAAGGCATGAAGATAAAGGCATGAAATATACAAAAGTTTCTGAAATGTAAAGTATTTGAAATGGAAAGAAAACATTTAAATGTAAGGCATCAGTAAAAAGACTTCGAATGAAAATATTTTAATGCAAAGGCTTTTGAATGGTATTGACATGAAGATAGAGGAAAATACTGGAAATGATAAAGAGTTTTATTAAATCATAAACACTTGGTGTTATCATACGTACATTGCTGGTGCATTCGTTTCCCTAGCCATGTGGTATTTTGAATGTTTACTGAGTTTTTTTGTACAATAGATATGACACACGAAATCCTAATGCTAAGACTTCTATTTATACTACTTCGACCATAACGGTCTTGCTATAAGATTCTGCCACGTTCAGAACATGCAAAGTAATGCCTCTCTCTAGCTTCCACGCGTCTTCCAACGCATATATTTTAAATTTCGAACATCCCGCTTGCATTTGAATTTCAAATGTTTTGGCACTTCTTCGCTTCGAACGCATTTCTTGGACACAACCTTGTTACCACTTCGAGACTTCTTTTGAAGATATCCTCATAACTGTCACTCGAAGCTCCAAGCTTTGATATGCCCATTCGAAGTACTGCTTCTACCATTTCGAAACATGACATCTTGCTTTATTCCAATCGAAACATCCAACTTACTTTACTTCGAACAATATCATCAAAATCTTCAGCCAACAAAATGCCCCTTTAAAATATGTATTTCGATTCCTTTGAGAAATACTTATTTTAAACATATACACAAGATTTTGATGCGACCTTCGAATCATCGTAACATTTATTACATATGACTCCAGTCACGTCAATCATGACGCTTTTCAGATTCCTTAACCGCCTTGAACCATTTCACAGCATGGTGCAGTTACAAAACAATGATTATCATTTAATCACACCTATTACCAATATTAACTTTACGCCACCTCCTTCTCAAACCAACCCACGACTACCACGTATCACAATCTTACTCAGTGGATGTTTAAACTTCCACACTATAAAAACCCATCAACTTAGTCTTTTTTCTTTTCTTCCCACATTCTAAATCTTTTCTTCCTCTTTTCTCACTGAAACCCTAAAAAAACTTCCAACACTCTTCAAACAATGTCTTCTTCAACTTCATCTCAACTGAAAAAAGCTTCCAAAAAGAAAGGAAAGAACACAGGAACCATAATGGAAAGCAAGGTTGGCACCTACCAAGGTCAATATGTTCTTATTCATCAGATGATCTCAAAAGAGAAGGAAATGCTCTATGCATCCCATGTACTAATTCCTACTAACGCCGCTGGAAAGAGGTTAGCTTTAATGGGCCCTCTTACAGTCTTTGAAATCTTAAAAGACACCAGAAAAATTTTCCCTGTTTGTTATAATTTTAAACCTCTGTTTAATAAAATGGATACCCCCAAGACAGTAGAGTCTTCTGATTCGACCACCGTGGAAAATCCAATCATTCCCCCTAAGGACCCTTTTGTGCTAGATTATGTAAAGAGTAACTTCAAACCATTTCGATCTTGCCCCACCTCCGACACAACTTATCACAACTGGTTTACTAAATTAGAAGCTAAGAAATCCCAGCAATGGGAAGAATTAGGCATTTACAACTTGATTAAACTATCGAAACCAGGCTTTACCAATAGCCACCCATTATTATTCGCGTCCTTATATTTCTGGGACAGTACTTACAATACTTTCCATCTCCCTGGTGGAATGATTACACCCACCTTTTTTGACATAGCAGCCATTACTGGGTTATCACCAATAGGAGAAACCTATATTCCTGACAACGAAGAGCATTCGAGTATTATTGACATCGAAGTCAAGCTAGCTAGCTTTTCAAAGTTCATCAGCCACTATCACTGTGTCGGATGTGGAACACATTGCTTTCCTTACCTTATGGTTGTCAAGGTATGTCTTTTGCAGCAGATCCCTACAGGTAGCCAGTAGGTTTATTCCTCTAGCTAGAGATTTACATGAGAATCGGAGGGTGTGTTTAAGCGAACTGCTAC